CAAAATACCATCTGCTTTATTTCAAATATAAAATTTGTATTAAAATTTTCAAATGACATTTATTTTAAAAAAAAAGAATAATGATAATAATTAAATATAAATTATTTTGCACATGGATGGAGTAGCTAGTAATTGGCAAAAATAAATCAAAGCTCATATTAACTTATCACAAAAATCTAATGAGAAATAACACCAAATATTACTAAAATAAGTATTATAGATAATTATAGCACATACTCCACAAATTTCTAAAATTAACATTATTGACACAATTACAATATTTTAAATTACTTTTTAGAAAAAAATTTCTAAGGTTTGAGACACTTTGAGTTGACTATTTTATATTTGAGAGTATCGTTTTTAAAGGTAGGATTTAGTGTTTAGAATTTAGAATTTAATTTTGTAATATTAATTATGAAATATGGTGTGCTAAATTTGGAATGCTATATTAATATGGATGGCATGCTGGTATAGTACGATTAGATTTCTGTGATGAATAATTCATTTTCAAAATTGGAGACCGATCAAATAAAATCATAACATGTATATACTCTGAATTGAAAGGAAAGAAGAGGACCTTCATATGCTTCCAATCTTCTCCGTATGAGGCAAAGAGTATATTACGCCCACCTTCCATATATATGTTAGTAGATTTGGATTTATGGCGATTTGCAAAGTTGTTGAGGTTGTGTGTTTTCACGATGTCATTAGTAACTTGTGGACAAGAGACCACGAGAAGAGGGACACTGCCGAAATGAATAAGCATGAGTGGTCCATACTTGAGGCTTAGAGAATGGAAAGATCGGTGGATGTTTGGACCGAGCTGGTGGAGGTTTCCTATCACCGGAAGCCACCACTTTGGAGACGGTGGTAACTTACGTTTTGTGGTGGTAATGATTCGTTTAAGGAAGAGAAAGGACAAGAAGGTGGCTAAGCACAAAGAGACTAATGTCATCATTTCCATGTTATGATGTTTGGTTTGTGTGATTAGAGCATCTCTCTGGTTAGCTACTTTAAATGTGTGTTTTGTAAGGGACATGGATCGGTGGATCAATGTGTCTCTTATCAACATCAATCAGTCAATTCTCATTTATTTATTTCATGACTTTGATATTTCTGTATTTTCTCTATCTTTAGTGTTGTGTCGACAATGTCCCACTGTGAAATGTGTGGATGTTTTGATCATACCCCTCTCTTTTTTTTTTTTGGATTTTATAAAGTCAATAATGTGGTAATAGTGCACGTCGTCGTCTAACCGCCCACACAATTATTTTTTAAAGAAATTTATAAAATTTTAAGGGTTCTAAATTTTTGATAATTTTTTGTAGGTTTCTAAATTTATGAAATTTACAAATAATATCCTTAAAAATTAATTGAGACACAAGGGTTCAAAAATATTATGGATTATTTGTGTTAATCAAAATAAATACAATGGCAAAAAAAAAAAATAACAACTTGTTCAACAATATTACTTTATTGTGGTTGGTCGTTTCAATGTTTTTTCTCCAAAATGTGATAATTCGTTATAAGTCTTAGCTTGTGTACTAGCGAAATTTCAGGTAGCTTGAGATGTGAAGTTTTGGGTAGCTTGAGATATACAAAGAGCAAAATGTATGTATTTTTTAGAACAAAGAGCAAAGTATAGAATAATTATTCTAATTACCGTAGAATAGAAATAATTTCTAAATTTCGTAGAACATGTAGAGTGTATAGAATACATTATCTGAATTTTGTAAAACATTTACAATGTATAAAATACACTTTTTAAGTTCAGAAGGTGTATTCAAAATTTCGTAAATTATATTTTATCCATCCTAAACGGGCAACATGAATAACATATTTTTGACGTTACAAGGATCCTCATGTCTTCTTCATCGTTTTCCTTAGAACTAAGATTTTTCTATATAAATTTTAGTTTTATAAATTACGCATGCCTAAACCAAACACAAATAAGTTTTGTTAAGATGTCCGCAGACAAGAAATATTAAAGTAGTTTATAAAGGAACATAAAAGCAAAGCTCACACTCATCATCATGCGACAAAGCTAGTAAACTGGTCACGTTAATTATTAGAATGTACCCAAATCATCAAGGTGTAATCAACACCTTCATGCATGCACAAGTGACGGGAATACAATGAGAGGAAACTTGCGGCAAACATCAATACCAGGTGCTTCAGCTAGATCAGGCTTATCATCATCCACCCCTGGTCCGACCATGACTCTCCAGTTGAACTGTTTCACAAGGTTGGCTAGTGTTAATTTAGACAAGACCATAGCAAAACCGATTCCAGGGCAACGTCTTCTTCCCCCTCCAAATGGAATGAACTTTGGATCGCTACCGATAAAATCAATATTCGAACCAAAATGCCTCTCCGGTTTATATTCTTCTGCATCATGTCCCCATATATCAGGGTTTCGTTGGATTGACCAAGCATTGATTATTACCTGTGTTCCAAGTCAAGTATATTACTACATAAACTTCTATGTCAAGTCTTGTTGGATTCAAAATACAGTATATATAGTTACCTGTGTTCCTGCAGCAATATCATATCCCTTTAATTGGATATCTTCAGTAAATATTCTTGAGAGTAATGGACCAGAGGGATGCAACCGTAGCCCCTCCTTAATCACACAATGTAAACAATCCATTTTCTCAACTTCTTTCTCTGTTACATATGAATTATGCGCTGAAACTGAACTAATCTCATCTCGAAGTTTTTTCATACACTCTAGATGCCTCATAAGTTCTGTCATTGTCCATTCTAGTAGTGTGACTGTTGTTGCTGTTCCCGCAAAAAAACATATCCTGAAAACACCAAAGGTGCAAATTCATTTTTCTTGAAAATATATAATTCAAAATGAAAAGATCAGTGTCTTGTGTGTCACCTTGAGGATGAGTATTATGTCACCTCTATCGAGCTCAAATCGTTTGGTTTGATCTTTTTGAATTGATAGCAATATATCAACAAAATCTGATGGCTCTTCGTGATCGGCGGCATCTACATGTTCTTGGACGATGCTATCTAAAAACCCATTTAACTTGTTGTTTACGTCTTTCATTTCATCTTCTATACCGCTGATTCTATCTATCCATGCCAAACTAGGAAAAAAATCTCCTACAAAAAATTTGCCAAAGAACTCAGAGGATGCCATTTCTAAGTTCTTGTATATAGTTCCACCTTCCTCGCTGTTGTATTTTCTTCCTAAGGTGATTCTGCATATGATATCGCTGGTAAGAGTCAAAAGCAGTTTCCTTAGATATACTGGTGAAGAAGATGAACATGCTTCTTCTAGCTTCTTTGTCAATACTTTTATCTCTTCTTCTCTTAGCTTCTCAAAGGACCGAACCATTTTGTTGTTTAGAAGATGCACCATGCACAGACTCTATTTAGTTCCAAAAAAAAAAAGACAGTTATATATATATATTTTGCAAAAATAAATCAAAGCTCATATTATCACAAAATCTAATAGTATATATAAACTATATAATACGATTGAGAGGCTAGTCTAATTTTAATTTTTTATGATAATGCCTATCATATAAAATCATAACATATATAATATGAATTAAAAGGAAAATATATAAATAGATTAAGGGACCTTCAAATTCTTCCAATCTTCTCCGTATGAGGCAAATAGTATATCACGCCCACCATTCAAATATATGTCAACAGGTTTTAATTTAAGTCGGTTTGCAAAGTTAGGGTTGTATGTTTTCACGATGTCATTAGTAACTTGTGGACAAGAGATCACGAGAAGAGGGACATTGCCGAAATGAATGAGCATGAGTGGTCCATATGAATAAAGACTGAATTGATTCATTTACATAGATGTGTTACAATATATATAGAGTTTAACCATAGGGTTAATGACTAAGTAATTACAATTATAACCTTAATACAACACTCTTCTTTACACACCCTCTCAAGATGGAGGCAAAGACTTGACTCCAATCTTGTTATTAAGCTGTCGAAATCGAATATGATGCAGAGGCTTCGTGAGGGCATCCGCGAGCTGATCATGTGTCGAGATATGAGCCACACGAAGAGCACCAGACTGTATATGTCCCCTGACAAAGTGATAATCAATGGCTATATGTTTCATCCGTGAATGGAAGACCGGATTCGCGCATAAGTAGGTCGCACCCATATTATCACAATATATGACAGGAGGAGTAGGCAAAACAATACCCAATTCAGTCAATAAGGAACAGATCCATTGAAGTTCAGAAGCCGCATTCGCAAGGGCTCGATATTCTGCTTCCGTTGAAGAGCGAGCAACACTCCTCTGTTTCTTGGAGGACCACGAAACAGGACTACCCCCAAAGTAAACAATATATGCATTCGTTGAGACACGATCACCAACATCACCACCCCAATCCGCATCAGAAAAGGCATGGACAGTGAGAGGAGAATCAGACCGTATGAATATCCCATGCGTTCGTGTGCCGGCTAGGTATCGAAGCACACGTTTAGCGGCCTGCCAATGTATGTGTGTGGGCTGATGCATATATTGGGACAAACGATTGACAGCAAAGGCGATGTCCGGTCTGGTAAACGACAAATATTGAAGACTCCCAATAACCATACGATATTGTTTTGGGTCGGACAACGGTGTTCCAGAATGCAAAGTGAGCTTGGGGAGCTCGGTCATTGGTGTAGGAACAGGATTTGCGTCTTGCATGTTGGAGCGAGCCAATAAATCCGTAATGTACTTCCGCTGCATTAAATGTAAACCATGACGAGTGCGTGTTGCTTCAATGCCTAAGAAGTAACTCAACGGGCCAAGATCCTTCAAGGAGAACCGAGCAGCAAGAGACGTATTGAAGGATTTCACTAGAGACGGCACTCCCGCAATGATAATATCGTCAACATACACAAGGACATAGAGGCAGGCAGTACCTTGTATGTATGTGAAAAGCGAAGTGTCAGCCAATGAGTTGGTGAAGCCCATTTGCAGGAGAAACGTTTTCAACTCCTGATACCACGCACGGGGAGCTTGCTTTAAGCCATACAAAGCTTTGTTGAGACGACAAACATGATTGGGACGATCACGATCCACAAAGCCCGGCGGTTGTGTAACATAGACCTCTTCTTGTAGTGTGCCTTGTAAAAAAGCATTGTTGATGTCTACTTGGTGAATACTCCAATTTCTTTTGACATCAACTTCAAGAACAATGCGTACAGTAGTGGATTTAATAACCGGGCTAAATGTCTCTGAATAATCCAGACCATACTGTTGATTAAATCCCCGCGCAACCAACCGTGCCTTATACCTATCAATTGAACCGTCAGATTTATATTTGAGGGTAAAAATCCACTTACATGTAATAACATTTTTCGTGGTTGTTGGTGGAACAATGTCCCATGTGTTTTCCCTCATCTGAGCATCAATCTCTTCGCACATCGCACGTCGCCAATTCGGATCTTTGAGGGCCTGAGTCACAGTCGTCGGAATCGTTGGGGTTTTAGAGACCATAAGATTCATTTTTTGTTTAGGTTTGGTGATTTGGTTCTTGGATCGAGTTTGCATTGGGTGAATATTTTGTGGAAGGAGTGGAGGAGGGTTCGAATTTTCTGTGGAAGTCGTGTTTTGTGAGTTAGAGGAAGACGATGATGTCGATGGCGACGAAGATGAGGAGGAATGAGGTATCGTGTTTTGACTTGTGTTTGGACTTGGGCTTGTGTGTGGGCTAGTGTTTGGGCTTGTGTTTTGGCTAGTGTTTGGGCTTGTGTTTTGGCTAGTGTTTGGGCTTGGGGTTAATGGACTTGTGTTCAAGAAGTCCATTTGTTGACGAGTTGGAGCTGAGCTCGCAGATGGAGACGACGATGACTGTGACTGATCGGAGAGAGATGGAGAAGACACGACAGGCGATGAGGAAGAATTCGGTGGTTGCACTGACGGAGCTGGAGACAATATAGGCGAGGCCGGTGGTGAAGGAGCAGCAGACGGGGGAGACAAAGAATGAGCGAGTGGCGACGGAAGCGGAATGACCG